GGGGGGAGTAAAAGGAATATAATAAGGAAGAAAGAGGTTGTTGTATCTTTTCTTTCCTATGTTTCCTAATTTATCACAGGGAAACATGAACTCTTTTTTTATGGCCATAATGAGGTTGCCCACTTTTGCCTATTAGGGAACTCTGGTGTCCATTTCCATTTATAATGAGTTAAACTGTTAAAGGCAGTCGAAAGTCAGTAGACTACACTGTACATAGAACTGAAGCGTAATATTGATAGAGTGAGAAAGACTACCTCATAGGTGACAGCCCATTTACCATGTCGAAGGGGCTTGTGGTAGTAATTGATGTTTCCAACATAAAGGCTTCTACCACTACGCACTTTCTTAACTTCCTTCATCACAGCATCAATTCTTACAAAGGTGTCATCATCACACTTCATTACATACTTTGCAGCGACTGTACGGACCTGAAATATTCCACGAGTACATAAATGTTAAAAAGCATATGAGAAAAAACTGAGGCCTAGATGAGCATCTTGGAATTTTGTGATTGCACGCACCCCATATTCACAAATTGCTACTGTCTTCAATACAACAAGGTCGTAATTGTCCATATAAGGAACTATAACAACATCACCAAAAAAATCTGCTTCTTTCACTAGCTCCACATTTATCTCCTTTCTTCCGTGCTGCAATATATTAATTCAAATATAAGCACATGTAAGGCTCCTGGCTCCAAATATGATAAATCATTGCCATGAATCGACACTTCTGTATAAGCCTAGTCTTACCATTGCCACAAAAAAACGGGCTACAATGTTTGAAGACTTAATTGATGAATGCTGCATCCAAGATTTTCTCACAGCCATTCTCTCAGCAAAATGATTGCCTGCAGAAAGGATGCCAATAAAAAGCTCAACTGGTCCATCAGGAAGTGGCGGAGCTTGCCACTTGGGTAACATTTCCAAATGCCTCTGCGGAGCAAAACTTGGATGTGTTGATGGTAACGAAGCAGCAAATACAGAATGCACATCAATATCCCCGTTAACAAACAGACCCGTTGCATCCTCAAGAGTAAAACCCTGTGAATTCATAACAAAAAAGTTTATTAACCAACATGAATCATAACAGAACATTAAAATATACTAATAATTTTTAGACAGTACTCACGGTGCGATAAGGAAAGGAAGTGATATGTCTCCCATCTACATTGATGTGATAACCTTCTAAGCCAGCACTGAGAGTAAGCACAAACAACTTGTTCTCTACAAAAGGGTATGGCCAGTCGATCGAGACCTTCTTTGTCCTCCCACTAATAAGTCTCTTCAGCCACCACGTGGCCTTTGATTCTTCAGAGTGATTATCATCATCACGTATCCACTTTTCACATTTCACCTGTCCGTCCACTTCATTCACAAACACAGACAACACTAAGTTAAAATCTTAAGCAATACCATCCAGCAACACAATATTACATGATAAATCAATAATTGATGTTCAATAATAGCTCCGAATTCAGTTAATCAAGTTTTATACTGATCTGATAGCTTATTCAATGATCTATTTACTACAATATCTTTGCGAAAATTCTGGTCAATCAAAATTCAGCTCAGACAGCCCAACAGAAGTTCAAAGTCTGACTTTCCTTTCCCTAAATTTTATTGTAAAAATGGGACATTTAACAACCCAAAACAGCAACACGAGCTACAGGAGAATCTTTAAAAATTCCAACATTTCCTAAAGAGAAGTGAAAGCAACCACATAAATAACAAATACTCAGCATACAAGTTGACTAACACTTAATCTCAAACTAGTTCGGGTCAGTTATTTGAACAATCTCTATCTGTTCCATTCTAATCAGACTCATTTCACTCCAATACTGGTAAATAATCTCTTTAATGCAACCTAGGATTCACTAAAACTAGAGGTTCTCAAAATTTCACACCTTTCCCTACCAGAACATAGCGTAAATGCAACACCATAAACTAATGCATCTGAATTAAATAAACGACCAAACAATTAACGAATATGAAACGAAAATGCAATGCATCAACAACATAAATTCCTCACCAGTTTCCTCACTAGGCTTGGATTTCCAACCATCACACCTCATTGCAGAACCCCACTGCATCCTATAACATGTATTCTGCTCAATCACTGGCTTACCACTCCAATCCCCTTTCAACCTCGGATTCAAATGCAGTATCCTCGGCGGGTCCTCTCCATCAACTGTCTTCAATCCTTGCAATTCCATCATAAACTGTGAAACCATCACTGTCTCTTCATCATCCTTCACTAAAGTAATCTTAGGATCCTTCTCTTCGTGGGCCCATCTCGGCGTCCCCACAACTGTTATATGAGACCCTAAAGTCAATCCACAAGGTATCACCATTATCTTCCCTCCAGCCACAAACTCACTACCCCAGGATGACACCGAGTCGGGGCACGACTCGGTCCGATTCTTCTGAGTCAAACTCACTAACTCGCTCTCAACTTTCCCTGATTCAATATCCTGAAACAGTTTCTTCCCAGTAACAAAAGCATCCCTAACCACCTTATGCAACTCAGAGAACTCGTCTTTATCAAAACTATCAAATGCTTTTTCATCAAAAATCAAACCGGATACTTTCTTGAACTCCCCCATTTTCCTTTTAGGTAATGATAATCCCATTTTTGAAGGAAAAACTGGATCTTGACTCATACTGTTGAGTCTGCTGAATTTGGAGTTGGAATCAAATGGTGTAGAAATAAGTTGAGAGGATTCTAACTCAAACCCAAATCTTGAAATCAAAGGTATTTCCAAAGTAACTAACATAAAATACAAAAACAATAAACCCATCAAAACTTGAATCGATCTGAGTCGACTCACTGAGATTACTGAGTCAAACTTAGCTCGTTTCATCTTCAAACAAAAAAAATCAAAACTTTCCTTCTGGGTATGTTTCTTTAAAGCATAAAGAACGATTTTTTGAAGTACAAATCAAGGAGAAGAAGAAGTAAACTCCAAAACCCCTAGAGTTTAAAGAGGGTATTATTATAGTTCATCAACTCAGATGAACTGATGTTACACACTTTTTTGGCTGATAGAATCTTATAGGTATGTATACTTCTATCTAAATGGAGAAACATTGGTCTGATACAGGAAAAAGTTTATTTCTTTTTTGGTTATATTATTTGAAAGTGTAAACAGATCATTAGCTTTGTTATTGAGGCTGTCCGTTGAGGTGGTGGGGTTCGAAAATGTAAGAAGAATGCAACAACGACGTCGTGTGAATTTTAGAACCTGATAAAATGTTGTTGTGCTATGTGAACTGGAAAAATGCGTTACTGTTGATTATTTATTCAAAAATGTGATAACTGAAAATTCTTCAGGTTAGTCCTTGTCTACTTAGTTAATGCTAGTTAATAGTATAATTTCTCCTTTAGTTGACATGATACTCTTCTTCTTTTTTTTTTTTTGGTTAGTAAAGATAAGCTTATACTTCCTCCGGTACACAATAAGTGATTTTTTAGCTTTTTTTTATAGTCCAAAATAAGTGATTTTTTCAGATTTCAAGAATTAATGAATTATTTTTTTCCTACATTGCCCTTGAAGTAAAAAGTGTTAGAGTATGTGTTATGGGTGTTTATGTGAAGAGATAGTAAAGGTTAATATGGTTAATTTATTGCTAATTAATGTCAAAAGGTGAATTTCTTAATATGTGTGAAAACAACCAAAAAATTACTTATTGTGAACTGGAGGGAGTATTATTTATAAAGATGCATTGTTACCGGAGATGCACCAAAGTACTAATACTACAAATACTACTAGTAGAATTGTTACTAACATCTACTGTGGAGTGTTGATCCAAAGGATCATTACATAAAGTGGAGTTTTCTACTATAGTAACTCTATGTGCAGCACCATGTTGTAGAGGGTGAATGTTTGTTGCCAACAAGTCTGCCGGATGTGAAGCAAAAGGTGGTGTTTGAGTGTCAAGCCTGACAGATTGCCATACTTGAGTGGGTGATACTTTCTGGAGAGTTGTAGCGCCTGACTGATTTGGTCTTAGTTGTTCGATAACAAAAATGGGTGGTGACACAAAAATAGTTGGTGTTGCTGAGTACTCCATCGTACAACCTTGCTTGGCTAACCTATCCGCTACCCCGTTTTGCTCTTTGTACACGCGTATGAGATGCAAATCATGGAGCTGGTGGAGCAGGTGCCTGTAACCATAGATGATATTAGCGTAGAGCAGATTTTCATTTCTTAAACTGTGATTACCTCTGAGGTGTCAATGTTTACTTCAAGTGGAACCAAATTAAACTTAATTGATAACTGTTATCCATGGAAAATGCCTGTAATTCGGCTTCCATGCTGTTTTTTGTAGTGACATTACCAACAAACACTCTAATCCAAGTTCCCTGAGCATCCTGAATGAGCCCCCTTATGCTGGATTCCAGATTGATGGGAGATTGCTCCATCAGTATTTAATTTGTAATAATTTGATTTTAGAGGAATCCTGTAACGACTCGACCGGTTGTTTTTCTTTCTAAAACCCTGTTTCCCTAAATGAGACTCCCCGTATGTGCTTTTACTATTTTATAACTTGCGAGGATAGTTAGTTCGGGGTTTGAAAGGGTTCGGGTTGGAATCGGAACACTTGGTTCCTTAATATTTATTAAAAAGGCTAAATTTGACTTGACTCAACGTTTTGAGTAAACAATATCGGAATCGGGATTTGACGTTTCTAATAAGTTCGTATGATGATTTTGGACTTGGGCATAGGTTTGGATCGATTTTTGAATGACTCGGGAGCGTTTTGGCGCTTAATAGTGAAAATTGGCTCATTGAAGGATTTAGAGTTCTTAAATTTGATTTGGAGTAGATTTATGTGTTAGCGAGGTCCGTTTGGGATTTAGAGCCTGGGAATAGTTCTGTATAGTGGTTTAAGACTTGCACGCAAAATTTGATATCATTCCGAGTAGTTTAAGTATGTTTCGACGCGTTCAGAGTAAGTTGGAAGAACTTGAAGTTCATAAGTTGATCATATTGGTTTTGGGTTGCGATTATTAATTTTAATATTGTTTTCCGCATTCCGAGTGTGCGAGCGAATCTATTTTATGATTTCAAACTTGTTGGTATGTTTGGACGGGGCCTCGGGGGCCCTGGACTCCATTCAGACGATACGCGGATTAAGTTAAGACTCAAAAGGGCTGCTGGTGCACCAGTTCTGGTGTGCCCGCACCTGCGAGCGTTTGGCCGCAGGTGTGAGCTCGCAGATGCGTCCTTTTGGCCGCAGAAGCGAGACCGCAAAAGCGGAAGCTCGTCCGCAGATGCGGCCTATGTTGGGCCTTTGGAGTTCCGCAGAAGCGGTACCGCAAATGCGACCCAGTAATCACAGATGCGAAAGTTCTGCTAGGCAGCACCCTCATTTAATGATGGGACTCAACCATTTTGAGTCTGTTTATTATATTCTTGGGCGATTTTGGAGCTTTTAAGAGGGGGATTTTAACCTAGCTTTTGAATGTAAATAATTCCTACCCAATGTGAGTTTAATACATGGATTATGAGTAGATTATAACATGTAAATTTGTGAAAATTATGGGTTTAGATGAAAAACCTATGTTTTGATAAAAATGAGATTTAACCACGAAAATAGTTATGGAATTGAGTGAAAATTATATATTGGAGTTCGTAAGGTTATGGGTAACATTTATCTTCGAAAGTTTCCGCAATCCGGGCATGTGAGCCCGGGGGTAAATTTTAGAAATCTTTCAATTGGGGTTGGGTAATCACTCTAATAGTTAGAATATGAGCTTTTGAGCATGTATTGATTAATTTATATAACATTTGACTAGTTTCGGATTGTTCGGCACCGAGTTGAGGCTTTAGAGTGAATTTGAGGCAGGAAAGTGAGCTTTGAGACGAGGTAAGTCTCTTGCCTAACCTTGTAAGAGGGAATTTATTTCATAGGTGATTTAAATTAATCTTTTCTTCTAATTGTGGGGGCTACGTACGCGCGAGGTGACGAGAGTCCGTGCGTAGTTACTATTTATGCTTATGTCCGGGTAGTTTAGGATCCAAATCATGAATTTCTTGTAATGTTTGCACCTACTTGCTAATTTAAAGTGCTTAAATTATATTATAACTTGTTAGAAAAATTGTAAAGAGGCCGAATTTCACTTGCTTATATCTTGAGCGGATCACTTAACCGTTAATGGAAATTGTATGATATTGTGTATTAGCTTGGTAATATTGTTAAGTCAAATGCTTATAGGATATCCTCTCTTCTTGTGGAGCGGGCCGAATGCCTCGGCAGTAAAATACATGCATTTATGGATCGTGTCGCACGTCCCTCGGCAGTATACACGTTAGTCTGGATCGGGCCGAACAACCTCGGCATAATTCGTACTTATTAATACTCGGGGCCTAATCATACTTGATATTATTTTGTGGCTTATGAGGTTAAAATTATTTAATGACATAAATTTACTTAGAATTTATAAATTTGTGAAAGAATTAATTGTTCCTGCTTGTTAGTGAGCTATTGTTATTATTTACATAACCCATGTTTATTTAGAATTTTTTATTTATATTGTTAGGCCATAGTAACTGTTGAAGTCAACTCCCCGCCACTACTTCGAGGTTAGACTTGATACTTACTGGGTAAATATTGTTTATGTACTCACGCTATACTTCTGCACTGACTGTGCAGGATCTGGGACTCCGATAATTGATTCAGTGCCTGTAGTCCGGGAGTTCACCGATGTGTTTCCTTCTGATCTTCCAAGCATGCCACCAAATCGTGATATCGATTTCTATATTGATTTAGCTCCAGGTACCTAGCCTATCTCTATTCCACCATACTGCATGGCTCTGAAAGAGTTGAAGGAGTTAAAGGACTAGCTTGAGGAGTTACTAGCAAAGGGGTTTGTCAGGCCTAGTGTATCGCCTTGGGGTGCGCCAATGTTATTTGTGAAGAAGAAATATGAGACTATGCGGATGTGCATTGATTACCGCCAGTTGAATAAAGTTACCATTAAGAACAAGTATCCGTTGCCGCGTATTGATGATTTGTTTGACCAGTTGCAGGGTTTAGGGTGTTCTCTAAGATCGACTTGAGATCGGGGTACCATCAGTTGAAGATTCGGGATTCAAAAGTTCCAAAGACTGCTTTCTGGACTAGATATGGCCATTATGAGTTTCTAGTGATGTCTTTCGGCTTGACTAACGCCCCAGTGGTATTTATGGATTTGATAAACATGGTGTTCAGGCCATATATTGATTCATTTGTTATTGTCTTCATTGATGACGTCTTGATCTACTCGTGCGACATGGAGGAGCACGAGCAGCATTTGAGAGTGGTACTTCAGACCTTGTGGGAACAAAAGCTATATGCTAAGTTCTCTAAGTATGAGTTTTGGCTAGATTCTATAGCATTCTTGGGGTATGTTGTATCGGGCGAGGGTATTAAAGTAGATACCAAGAAGATTGAGGCATTTTAGAGTTGGCCTCGTCCTACTACGACGACCGAGATTAGGAGCTTATTGGGGTTAGCAGGTTATTATCATCGGCTTGTGAAGGGTTTCTCATCTATTGCAGCACCTTTGACTAGATTGACCCAGAAGGGTGCTCCATTCCATTGGTCCGATGAATGTGAGGCGAGCTTTCAGAAGCTCAAGACAGCTTTGACTACGGCACCAGTTCTAGTGTTGCCTTCTGGTTCTGGGATGTATACTGTGTATTGCGATGCTTCACGCACTAGTTTGGGTTGCGTATTGATGCAGGATGGGTGAGTTATGCATATGCTTCACGTCTGCTGAAGCCCCATGAGAAGAATTACCTTGTACATAATTTGGAGTTGGCAACGATTATTCATACTCTTAAGATCTGGAGGCATTATATTTACGGGGTGTCCTGTGAGGTTTACACCGATCATCATAGCTTGCAACATTTGTTCAAGCATAGAGATCCCAATTTGAGGCAGCACAAGTGGCTTGAGTTACTAAAAGACTATGATATTACCATCATTTATCATCCAGGCTAGATGAATGTAGTCTTGGATGCCTTGAGCAGAAAGGAAGAAGTATGGGTAGTTTGGCATTCATTTCAGCAGCGGAGAGGCCACTAGATTTAGACATTCAGTCCTTGGCTAACAGACTTGTAAGGTTGGATATCTCATAGCCTAGCTGAGTTCTTGCATGCATCGT